TTCCCAATGCATGCTGCTGCAGTCAACACCACTTCTGACCCTTTAATGCACCACAACATACAGATGCATACAGATGCACATACACTGAGGTAGACTGGGCTGGTATAAAATAAGCCAGGTATATGTATCAATGTATACAAACAAATACTAAAGAGTGTAAACTGGCTTTTAGACTCCAATAAATCCGTGTTTGGGGATGCTTATTTCAGATTATTGCAAAATCAGCCCTAATAAGGAGGCCTTATTGAAGCCCTTGGAGCAAAAGTGAGGAAAGGTGGCAATTTTAATGATGAACTCCAGGCAAACAACTAAATAAACAAAATAAATACATATCTGGGAGCTGTACCTACCAAAGAATTTATACTACTGGTAATCAAGTCTCAAGCTTTGCCCCACAGTAACACTTACGGGCCTTTTCCCACCCCCTCAATGAAAAAGAGAAGCATCAGGCTCATGAGCTGGTCCTTCTTTTACTCTGTTCTCTCCTTCTGTCAGCAATCTTCTTGTTAGCACTGCAGCTCAATGGATTGGCTCCTTGTGCTTCTTCTCTCTCTTGCAGTCTGAGGTCTGCTTTACAGTACAGCAAGAGGTTAAATCCATGTTAAATTCAAGCACTTACATGTATTTAAAAATGAATTAGATTTTGTATTAATAATACAGAGCTGAATTAATTTGTGTCTTTTTATAGCTTGAAGGATTAGCACGTATGCTGTTTCTCCTATGCATAGTACAGTAGGTGGCCTTCACCATTTCCATGCACGCCCATGCATGGCCTTCATCAGTTCTGGTAACAGGGTATAGAGAATTTATTAATGCTAACTATGGTCTATTTATGCAGCTTTTTTACCTAATGAATTTACACCAAATAAGCACTCTTTTCGTAGGATATTTATAGGTCCACTGGACCAAGGGCCAAGAGCTACAGCCTGTGGGAAAACATCCAGCCTATTAGGAATTTTATTTGGCCCCACAGCTAGTGTTAATGGCAGATCATAGGACTGTATACAAATAAAACTTCAGCGCAACAAATAACTCCTCAAATTCCTGTGTATACCAGTGCTGCTGACACTTACATGCGTTTCCACACACAAAAGATACTGTATATCATAAAATAGTGCCGCGCATATATCTCTATAACCTCATATATGAATTAAAGCATCCAAACCATGTGATTATGCAACAACAGTGAATACACTGAATACAACGTAAAAGTCCATATTGTGTGCTTGATCCGTGCTTTTATAATTTGTTCCCAAACAGGTACTCTTTATTGCTTACATATATTCCTATAGGTGCTCCTCCACCAGAGACATACATATATACTCTCACCTCCTTTTATGACCCAAATGTCATAGGTCAAATATCGCCTTTCCCTTTTAACCCGGGTAGGTATACTGCATAGACGACTCCACTTTCCTCCTCACTCTGCTGAAAACGGTCCCGTCTCCTCTTTATCCCACATATCCTACGCATATGGAAACAGAAACGCTTGCCATAGTGTAGTACAGGGGCAGACTGACCATTTGGAAACTCAGGCACTGCCCGAGGGCCGGGGTCAGTAGGGGGCCCCATGAGATGCCCCTGTTACCTTTTTCATATTCTTTTTTAAGTTTGGGCAAGTACACAGGGGCCCCATGATCCTTTATTGCCCGGGGGCCCCATGAGTTGACAGTCCCCCCTGGTGTAGTATATAAATATAGCGTGATTTATTAAAAAAACAAAGTGCACTTACATTTATAAGTGTCCTGCTGGAACACCACAGTAAATAACCTTGTTATAATGTATTTTCAATCTGTTCAGGAATTTCCAAGATGGCGGCTCGTAAACTTCCTGTTTAGCAGCTTGACGTCATTGGCCCACTCTACGCGTTACATCACATCATGTGACTTCCTCAGCTGTGATGGGCCAATGTCATCAAGCTGCTAAACAGGAAGTGCAAACATTCTTAAAAGTGCACTTGATGTACCAATGATTCTTAAGGCTCATGTACACGGGATATTTAGAAAACTCTTCTGAACGATGGAAACTGACTTCCGGAAAACGTAGGTTAAAAAACATCAGTTTAGCCGCGTTTGCATACCGCATTTATGTGTTTTTGTGTTTAGAAGCGTTTTTAAAAGATAACCACAGGAGACCTTCCCAAATGCCCAGAATGCACTAAAAAATAGTAAAATATTAACTATTTCAGACATTTTGAGAGGAATAGAGAGAGCAGAAGCAGAGAAAGCAGTATGTGTGGAGATGACCTGTCTTTTCTGGATGTATTCACTATGGATCCCATCATGCATAATGCGGCACGTTCTACTACTTTTTCCTTCACACGAAACCTGGAACTGACTGCACTGGTGTACCGAGTCCATTTGATTACATGGAAAACGCTTTGCATGCATTTCTGATGATGAAAAAAGGTTCTGGAAAGGACCTAGACATGGAACAGTTAAAAACGCTTCTAAACGCAAACGCTTATAAACACGGTTAACCGCGTTTACAAGCATTTACACGCATTTACAAGTGTTTGGTGTTTGAAACGCCGGTAAAATCTACTCCTGAACGCAAGTTTGCTGCATTCAAAAAAACAACTTTAAACTCAACTGCCTGTAAACAACTATAAACGTCGATGTGTACATGGACACATAGGAGAACATTAGGGAGAGTTCAGGAGCTGCTAAAAAAAAACACTGAACAGCCCCTGAACGTCAGTTTAGGAGCTGCAGTGTACATGAGCCCTTAGAAGGGAAAAGAACTAGATTCATGAATCACCTGTGGCACAAGAGTCCTGATAAGGGTGAGGCACTCTTGATCCACCCAAGCACAGTCAGGATTCCTCTCCTAAGGGTCAGCCAATGCTGTCCTAGAAGTACTGGATGAAGGTTCTACAAAGGGAAATATCCAAAGTAGAGTAGGTCAGAACCTGATGCTATTCAACCTTATACCAGACATCAGGGTAAGCCAAAGGACTCACATCTTGCAAAATGCAAAACACACAAGGGAAATGAAAGTTCATGGAATGTGAGAGAAAAATAAATGGACACCATGTACAATAGCTAGAGCTTCCAGCATGGTACAAAAATGAGTTTAAGTAATAAAGCCTAGCATGGCATGATATACTAAAAAAGATGTATCTTGCTCTGATCTACAGTATAGTACTGTGCCAAAGTTATAGGCAGTTGTAAAAAAAATACTGTAAATGAAGAATGCTTACAGAAATAGAAGTAATAATAGTTTATTTTTAACAAATACCAAAACAAAAAGTAAATGAACAGAAGAGAAATCCAAATCAATATTTGGTGTGACGACCCTTTGCCTTCAAACCAGCATCAATTCTTCTAGGTACACAAGGCGCTTCTGCACAGTTTATGAAGAACGCGACAGGCAGGTTACTCCAAACATCATGGAGAAATACCCACAGATCTTCTGTGGATGTAGGCTGCCTCAAATCCTTGTGTCACTTCATGTAATCCCAAACAGACTCCACAATGTTGAGATCAGGGCTTTGTGGGGGCCAAACCATGTTCTTCTTTATGCTGAAGATCATTTTTAATGACATTAGCTGTATGTTTAGGGTCGTTGTCCTGCTGCAGAATAAATTTGGGGTCAATCAAAGGCCTCCTTGATGGCATGACATGATGGATAAGTATCTTCCTTTATCTCTTAGCATTTGGGAAGCCATTAATCCTGACCAAATCTCCAACTCTATTTACAGAAATTCAGCCCCAGACTTTGAAGGAACCTCCACCATGCTTCACTGTTGCCTGCAGACACTCATAATTGTATTGTTCGGTGAACAAATTGCCTCCTGCTACAGCCAAATATTTCACGTTTTGACTTGTCAGTCCAGAGAACCTGCTTATTTTTTTCTGCACCCCACTTCTTGTTTTTTTGCGCATAGTTGAGTTGCCTTGTTTCCATGTCGAAAGTGCGGTCGCAGTTCTTCCATGAAGGCCACTTCTGGTCAGACGTCTCCGAGCAATAGATGGGTGTACCTGGGTCCCACTGGTTTCCATTGCTTCTATGATGATGGCACTGCTGGACACTTACGATGTCAAAGGGAAGTAAGTATGAAGTATCTTTCATATGGTGCTTTAAGTTTCTTTGGCTGACCACTGTGTCTATGGTCCTCAGCATTGCCCATTTCTTTGTGCTTCTTCAAAAGAGCTGGATGAATTGAATTGATGTTGGTTTGAAGCGAAAGGGTGGTCACACTAATTATTGATTTGATTTAGATTTTTCTTCTGTGCATTCACTTTGCATTTTATAAATTGATTTAAAAAAATACAGCATTTCTTCACACCTGCCTATAACCTTTGCACAGTACTGTAGTTCCATCACATGCAGTTGGACCCCAAACCCATAGTGTTTTTCTGATGCTCCCAAATAACTACTGTCAAGTGCACCAGCACCATGGCCTTTCATGCTTTCTCAGCCCAAGGCCAGACCTAGGCAGACCTGTCTGAGCTGTACTAAACATTCTACTTCAATAAGTTAGTATTAAAGTTTCAAAATACAGTAATGTAGAATGGAATTTTGCTACAATTAGAGTTTAAAAGCAAAACAGCAAAAGGTATTCAAGCTGAGTGTCTTTGAAGTCCATTAGATGTTTGTTGCCTTGGTTTTTCTGGTCTTGTCCTTTTTATTGTTTGAAGTCTCTTACCGATCTGTATTGATGGTTACTTACAGTGTACCACTTAGCCTGGATTATTTATATGGTGGTTAAAGCCCATTGCCCGGCAAAAAGTCTACTATTCACCAACATTTTTTTTTTCTTTAAAGGATTTACTGAAGTCCTTTTTAACACATGTATCTCTGCCAACCATGTCCATCTACAGGACTGAGTATTGACTGGTGACCTAGTACTGTGCATGTTACCTTCATGTGAAGACACCGTATTATGCACTATTCTGGAGCTTGAGGGGATGCTGTTGCTCAGGGGCGGACTGACAACTCATGGGGCAATAGGGGATTATGGGGCCCCTGTGTCCTTGCCTGCACTCAAAGCACACCCAAAAAAGCCTATAAAAAGGTACCAGGGGCATTTCATGGGGCCCCCTACTGACCCCGGGCCCTCAGGCAGTGCCCGAGTGCTTGAATGGTCAGTCCGCCCCTGCTGTTGCTAAAAATCCAATTGAATGTTTGTAGGTCACCCAGGCAGGACATTAAATTAGATGGCATCACCCCTACAGGAGACGTGTTATTACACGAAGCGGGTCTAGGAGGAGCCTCTGCACGCCTTGACGTCACGCCACCGGATCAGGAGGTCCGGTGGCCATCATTTTTATCCACTGGTCAGTGCATTCAAGAGCTCATTCACACTATATTTGTATAGGTTACTATCACCCTGTACGTTTACTGTTTATCATAATGATTTATACACAATAAATACATTTCATAATACTACACCATGAGCGTTTTCATCTCTATTACCTGGCACTGAGCCTCCACATCTCAGCCCAGCATTTTAGGAGTCCACCCAGGCTGGAGGATTTGGGATATAGGTCCAGACCATCATCTCTGGCAGCCGTCACCCCATTTACCACCAGAGGATACCTTTATCATCAGGCTGTACCTTCACGGGACCTCCGGCTACATGGAATTTCTATGTGCACATTAACCTCCCTGGCGGTATGATTATTTCAGATTTTTGGTGCTGAAAGCGGTACCATTTTTTTGCATGGAAATATGTATTTTTTTTATTGTAGGCTGTAATTTTTAGGAAAAAAACTCACTGAAATCTGTCCGAACAAGAGTCTAGTAAACATCCCGGGTATGATAAAATTTGAAACACAAAATCATAAATTATAATTTAATAAATAATCATAAAAATAATATAAAAATAATAAAAAATTTAATTCAATAATATAATCAAACCAAAAAACACTGAAATGTGAAATATAGCGCCAAGTTCGCACATTGCTGAGCTCAGTCGCAAAATCGTTTTCAGTTTCTGATGACGAATTTCCCCCACGAATCATTATCACTCAATTCTGTAAGTGGTTCTGATTTACTATCGCTGTTCTCTAGCTGATCTAAACCGCTTTTGACCTAAAGGGACACTTTTTGGACGCCATGGACATTTCTCAGTTTCCAGGCAGAAAGAACAGACAAAATGCAGGCAGGGCGCAGGACAAAGCAGTAGGGACAATATGTATGTGAAATTGGTTGAAACAGCAATGTTTTACTGTGTAAAATGAAAAAAAAAAAAAAAAAATGACATTTTTTAAAATTTTTAAATTTCCCGCCGCCGCCGGCGCCCATACGTCCCGACGTCACAGGGACAGGACACAGAAGCCGGATGCCGGCATCGGCCGGAGGAGATGGCCGGGGACGCTGCAGGGGACACATCGTGGGAGCGCAGGGTAAGGTAAGTGAAGAACACATGCTGGAGCAGTGCCACATGGTATTCCCGAGTGTAGCTCGGGGTTACCGCTTTTGGTACTGAAATGTTACCCCGAGCTACACTCGGGAATACCGCCAGGGAGGTTAAATTGCACTTCCGGTGAGTGGGCAATTTTTCTACACCTTCATGTTAGGATGCTGGAATATACCTATTTGGATTGAAGTCATTTATACTCCATCACTGGAATATACCTTTTTGGACTGATACCATATTACCTTGGACTGTTTATCATTCAGTTTATAGGACTTTTTCATTTTTTTGTCATATTTATGACAGTGTGTTTTATTTGTATAGCGCTGCACACCCCATTTTTATGTTATAGGACATTAAATCTGAACAGAAAACCTCCTCCTTGGTAATAAGTAACTTAGAATAATCAGGACCTGGACCACTAAGTGATCACAAATTGGAAAGTAAAAGGGCTCTTGACTTCCTTCTCCTTAATTTTTTTTTAGTTAATGTGTGGACAATGGGTGGTTGGTGGTGGATTAATGACTTCTGCTCATAATTTATAGGTACATGTAACCTCTCTAAGTAGAAACAAAGTTAGTTGTTTCCTCATAGGCAATAGTATTAGTTTATGTAAAAACAAAAAGTTTAAAAACTAGGAGGTGCCTATTAAAGAAGAGAATAATCAGCATTAGGAGATACTAAACAGACAAAAGGAGGCCAAGCATATTATTTGTGTTGATAAAGCACACAAAGTGGAAGAAATGGCTAAATGTGTGATAAAAGGAGACTCAACGTTTTTTTGGTACAGTGTATCAGTGATAGAAAGAAAAGCTTTGGAATGACAAACAGGAAACCTGCGTAATAGACTTGTGTGGAGGGAGACCTTGATGTATCAATCCATTTAAACTTACTTTCATTCAGGTGACTCAGAAGTAAATGACGCTGACAAAAACAAATTGGAAGATCTTATGGATTCTAGCGATTAAGATTAATTTTCCGGATTTCTAGAGGCAGAGATAGCAGAGGAACTGATTCAGTTGGGCTACGTTCACACTAGCCTTGTGTGCAGGCGGCAGAGAGGCGTTTGGGAAGCGTTTTTACCGCTTCCCAAACGCCTCTGCCAATTCTGCACATGATGCTGTTCTAACGGGAGCATTTGCGTCGCGTCGCGGCAAAACGGACGCCTCTGGTCGAGTCAGGAGGCTTTGAAGCCTCCTATTCTCGTCTATGGTGCCGCTCCGGTTGCAACGCGGTTGCGGGGTGTTTACGGAGCGGTAACACCACTCAAACTGTATTATAGGCGTTTGTGGGGCGTTATTAAAGCTCGGCAAACGCCTAGCAACCGCCACTAAACCGCACATGCGGCGTTTGCGGAGCGTTTGCCGAGCGTTAATAACGCCCCACAAATGCCGGACCAACGCTTGCCAAACGCTATAGGGGCGTTTGGCAAGCGTTGGTAAAACAGCCAAGTGTGAACGAGCCCTTAAAGCTTCATTAAGCAATAGCCTCTGATGGTATCCATTCTAGAGTTATAAGAGAACTCCAAGGTATAGTTTTTACCTGATCTTTTTAATCAATCTATCCTAACTTGAGAGGTTCTTCTTAACTGACAAACAACTAATATGGTACCTGTCCACAAGAAGTATAGTAAAGAAGAAGTTGTTAGCTACAGGCCAGTCAGTTTAACATCTGCAGTGGTAAAATTAATTGAATCTCTGCTAAAAAATAAGGAGCAATGATCATTTGAAAACACTCAACTTGCTGGACCCAAACCAACATGGATTCGCTGAGGGTAGATTTAACTGTATTTTTGTTACTGTATCACAAATGTTTTGGACAGGTTGGTGCATGGACACAGACAGTCTTGAGTTCAGAAAATCATTTGATAAAGTTCCACATAATGATCTCATGAATTAGTTTTACTAACTAGGACTTAAGCCTTGGACGGTTCAATTGTCATGCATTTGGTTGACCAAAGTATGTCTTTTTGCTGATGACACAAAGGTGGGCAATAAGTCTGATATTTCTAGAGGTGTTTGTAACATAGAACTTGATTTGCCATTCCTGGAAGATTGGCTACAGCAATGGAGACTACAGTTCAATATTTCTAAATCAGGGTCCTCTGATAGAGGTAATTTTTTGGGGTGCAGTGTTGACCAGAACTCAGGACGAAGAAGATATTGGGATGCTTATTTTAGATAATAGCAACATGAGCAAATAGTATGGCCAGATAGTGGAGAAAGCAAATAGAATTCACCAGCAGGAGGAAGGAGGTCCTGATTCCCCAATATATATTTTTAGTTATCACTAAAGGGATCACCAGCAGGAAGAAGAAGGTCTTGATTCCTTTATATAGATGTTTAGTTTTCACTATAGGGATCACCAGCAGGAGGGAGGAGGTCCTGATTCCCCTATATAGATATTTGGTTTTCACTAGAGGGATCACCAGCAGGAAGCAGAAGGTCATTCCTTTATATAGATCTTTGGTTTTCACAGGATCACCAGCAGGAAGAAGGTCTTGATTCCTTTATATAGATCTTTGGTTTTCACTAGAGGGATCACCAGCAGGAAGAAGAAGGTCTTGATTCCTTTATATAGATCTTTGGTTTTCACTAGAGGGATCACCAGCAGGAGGAAGGAGGTCCTGATTCCCCTATATAGATCTTTAGTTATCACTAGTGGGATCACCAGCAGGAAGGAGGAGATCCTGATTCCTCTATATAGATCTTTAGGTATCTCTAGAGAGATCACCAGCAGGAGGAAGGAATTCCCTGATTCCTAGAGGGATTTCTTATATTTCTTTAGTTATCACTAGAGGGATCACCACCTGATTCCCCTATATAGGAGTGGGGGCAGGAGGAGGAGTCCTGATTCCTCTATATATTTCTTGAGTTATCTTTAGTTATTAGAGGGATCACCAGCAGGAGGAAGGAAGTCCTGATTCCTCTATATATTTCTTGAGTTATCATTAGAGGGATCACCAGCAGGAGGAAGGAGGTCCTGATTCCTCCATATAGATCTTCATTTATCATTAGAGGGATCACCAGCAACAGGAAGGAGGTCCTGATTCATCTCTGTAGATGTTTAGTTGTTACTAAAGAGATCACTAGAGAGATCACCAACAGTAGGAAGGAGGCCCTGATGCCTCTTTATACTGTATATCTTAAGTTATGGACTTCACTGTGAATGAAAAGTCCAACCAATGCAGCGCCCAAAGTTCAGAGCAGGGGCGGACTGACAACTCATGGGGCCTCCGGGCAATAGGGGATCATGGGGCCCCTGTGTCCTTGCCCAAACTCAAAAAAGCCTATGAAAAAGGTACCAGGGGCATCTCATGGGGCCCCCTACTGACCCCGAGCGCTCGGGCAGTGCCTGAGTTTCCAAATGGTCAGTCTGCCCCTTGTTCAGAGACAGGAAGAGAACTGGCATTCCTACAGTGTCTATTTCTGCAGGATCCAGCTGTTTGCACAGTGGGGGACTTTCTTCTTTACAGGTAAGTGATGTAACTAAAGTTGTAAGGATTGGGTGAGAGATGACTTTCTAAGAGATAAACTGATCACTTGTGCAATGGGCTATGGGCTTCAAATGCAAAAAAATAGCAAATGGACATTGATCATGCATGCATTTTTTTCAGTAAAAGGTGGACTGTCACATTATTAAAACATGTTTCTGTTTATCCCCTCAGAGTTTTTTTTTTTAGATCCTGTAAATCTTTA